TTTTATTACATTAAAGTTTAACATTTATAAAACAATTATGTTTTATTAAATTCAGTTTCAAAACAGAAGAAGATCGAATTATCCTGAAAGTAAAAAATTGTGATGCAATAAAAGATAAACTTTCAGTTCTTAGTTTTCTTTTAAGTAGAAGTCGTTTGCAAATTTGTAGGAGAATCAATACTCTAAAAATGGAGCCATTAAGAACTGGTAATATTTTTAATTTATTTTAGAATTAAATAGCAAAATATGTTTAAAAACGTTTCAGAGAGAATCATATGGACTGATCAACTTCGTCAAGAATTATTTTCTAGTATACTTAGAGTTACTAATACTGTAAAATGGCGTAAATTAAAAAAATTAAAGATCACAGCTCAAACTTGGAATGAAATTGTTAAAAATTTTCCTCAATCTATTAATGCTGAAAAAGCTAGAATTTATTGGGATACTTGGATGAAAACTATGTTATTTTCAAAAGAAACTCTGCATTATTCATCCATGAAATTATCTATATTAGAATTGTAAGTTGAAATATAATTGTAGTTAAAAATTTATTTTTCATTTATTCAAATAGAATAAATGTGATAAATTAAATAAACATTAAATAAATGTGTAAAAATGGTGTTTATGGACTGATTACTACTATTACATAAATGATAGCTCAGGAGTTTAACAATGAAATAGAAGGGTGTTGCTTACATTTTTTTTAAACCTAAAATTTATGTATTTTTCAGTTGTATATTGCTAAATAATCAATAAATTTAAATAAAGAATAGAAATCTTGTACAAAAGGTAAAGTCGTATTGTTATTGTCAAAAAATCAATAATAAAATATTTAATTTTGTCATATGTTTGATATGAAAGTTTAAACAATTTTTGAGCACAAATTGTCCTTTTACTAATCTCGAAATAAAAAAAAGTTTTTTTTAAATTAAACTGTACAGTTAGGACGGGTTATAGAGAAGACTAGAGTAATATTGAAATCTGACCGTAATAAAAATAACCATCAAAATAATGCTTTAATGCAAATCCCTAAGTTATATTTTTTTCTTAATATGGATTTTTGTATTATGTTAAATGCAGCATGGAAGAATTAATGTTTTTTTAAACAAAAAAAAACATTTTTGTTTAATTTTGAGAACTATTTACATATACAGAAAGACTGATTATGGTTAAGATTCATTATTATCGTTTTCTTTATACCAGAGGCAACAATAAACTATTTTAATTGGCCATGCGACAGACATAATGACAAGAAATGTCTATAAAAACTTGTTTATTTCACCCTCCTATATGACAATAATGCTTGACCTAAATGCTAAGCATATATAATTAAAATAACACAATAAATTGTTATTCTTTACACTATAATAAAATTATTTTTTTAATTCGTGTTTTTTTACATATAAAAAGTAAGGTGTCGGGACAAATATTGTTTTTTTTTAACTTATTCTATGAAACAAAGCTTTAGTATAACATATATTTGAAATTTAAAGTATTTCCAGAACATTTTCAAAAGGTTATGACAATTAAAAAAATAATGTAAAATTTTACTAAATTTAAAATATAATTAAATAATTTTTTTAATTTTTAATTTTAAGTAAAATTACAATTTCACTTGGAAGGGCTTAAGTATTAATGTGTAAATAAAAGAATAAATATGTTAAGACATAGAATATTCATAAATTGTTGTACATTTTGTTTACCAATTTGTACCTACTGTTTAAATTCGGTTGGGATTTACCCAACCATCAAAATGTTAGTGTAAAAATTAAAAGAAAAGTCAAATTTAATTTGCACGTAATTTTTTTAAAAGTAAAAATTATGCTCAACATGACGAACTAGTATATTTTAATGTAAATACAAAATATAAACTGCAAAATTCCAAAAAGATTTTAGAATTATATTGGTATTAAATAAATCATTAATAATATTTATTTATCTAATTTAATTAATAAATTAGTCTTTAAACTTCGTTTTTATATCTTAAGTTGTCATCATCATAGTATAGATACTTCTAATAGCATATTAGTCAATATTAATATTGATGACATGGAGTTATATTTTATATATTTATTTTCCTTTAAGGTGTTATACTTATTAAAATAAAAATTATGAATATTTGATTGGTTTATGATTAATTGGTTATTTTGTGTACTTTCTTAAAAATCATTGTGATTATGAATCTTCATTAAATTATTGAAATATTTTTACCAATAAATATAGGACTATTAATTTCTTCAGCAATAGTAATAAAAAAAAGTTTATAAGAAATATATTTTTTTTAGTTTGCTCACTATGAAACCTAAAAAGTGGTCTGATATAAATTGGGTAACAGTTTCCAAAAAATTATTTCCAAGGATATCTAATAAATTTGTGGGTACATTATTTCATTCGTGGGTAAAATATAATGTACCAGAAGAACAAAAATGTGATATTAATAGTAATTTTCTGCACAAGTAATTCATATTAAGATTTTAATTTTGTTTAATGAATAATTTTATATTGTAGAAGTTTTAAATTACTTAACAAAAAATTGTAAGGAAGATTTAATGGAAAAGATTCAAACTGGACGTGATAAACCAGTACCAAAACTATCAGTAAGAGGTAAAGACAAGTTAATAAATTTAAACAAGGAAAAAGATGACTAACTATGATATCATCATTGAAAATAATTATCAAGAGCATTAAGAAATTGTTACTTTTATATTTTAGACATAACTGTTTTTAATAACAAATGAGTATTTTGTTGAATAAATATTTAATGAAGCTAATACATACATTTTACAGTTTTTGAATACTTGAAATTTTTTTTTAAAGTTTTACTGATACATTCCAATTATCTTTATTACCTTTAAATTATCAATGGTGCTATTAAACACAAAATGATAGAAGTAATGAAATCATATAAAACCAAGGAACTATGCCACACAGGTTGTGAGCTAAATAGCATTCCGTTGACAAATATTCCTTATTCAAGTTAACACAAACACATAAATACATCTATGAGAGAAACTTTATATTTCGTTAAAATCACTTTTTTGTATTTTTATCATAATAAATAATTTTATTAGAATCATAGTTATTATTTCAATGTAACTTATGTTTTTAAACAGATTTTATAATTGAAATATTCAAAACTTAATTAATATTAATGATTTACTTTAACTAAAAAAAACAATAAAAAGGTATTTAAATTTTAAATTATAAAGGCGTTGTTTCCAATATTTGTTGACTATAAGTTAATCTAGATTAAAATCGTGTTCTATTTACGTATGGATCATTAAAATTGATTTAGCTCAGAATTTTCATAGATAGATATAAAAAAAATGCACTACACCACAAAAACCAATACCTTCTGAGTTTCGCGTAGTAATAAGTAATAGTAATAATTTCCTAGTAACTTTTGTTGTTTGAAAAGATTCTACAATTGAAATATTGAGAACTTAATTAATTTTAATGATTTATTTTAACTAAATGAACCAATCAAAACAAAGTTGTTAAAAAGATTTACTCAATTGAGCGTATAATAAAATTTGATTATATTTGTAAAAATCAATTGTTAATTCAGGAGAAAAACAATCANATTGAGTGTATAATAAAATTTGATTATATTTGTAAAAATCAATTGTTAATTCAGGAGAAAAACAATCATTTTTTTTAGAAATGATTTAAATTGCAACATGTTACCAACAAATTTGGAATACTATAGTCTAGTAGTAGTACACACAAATAGAGTAAACAAATTATTAAATTACAAAGTAAAATGATTTAATTTTGAAGTTGAAACCTATTATATCAAACTTCATTCGTTAATAAATATTTTGAAAACATTAGAANGATTTATATAGCAACATGTTACAAAAAAAAATTGTAATATTATAGTCTAGTAGTAGCACACACAAATAGAGTAAAAAAATTATTAAATTACAAAGTAAAATGATTTAATTTTGTAGTTGAAACCTATCATATCAAACTTCATTCGTTAATAAATATTTTGAAAACATTAGAAATTAATGATTTTAATTGTCTTTATGGAGAACATGTAATAACTAACTGTTTAATTGATAAATTAGAATTTTTTTTCAATTTTTGAGGGTAATATCTTCAACTAGATACGAATTGTAGTCATTTGATGTATCGTTGAAAAAAGTAGGTCAAGTTAGAGCAGAGAAAATAAATGATAGTCACAAAAAAATATCTTCTCGGCTTTGCATCGAAGCGAAAACTTAAAATATAGTAAAATAATTTTAATACGAATAAGAAATTTCTTCTTGCAAGGGGCGACTAAAGTGATGGGATCCTTGATATTTATTGAACTTATTGAATCTAAATGAGACAAAAATCAAACGAGTTAAAAATTTATACTAACTTAAAAAGAATTAAGAAAAAATGCAAAAAAATCATTGCCATACGCGGTTTGGAACCTCGTATCCCAGGCGTGTTAAACGTAAGTTTTAACAACTCGGCAACCGTATGTTGATACAGTCAATTGAAAAAATTGGTTATTTAAGCTAATTCAAATTTCAAAGTTATTTTTCTCGAATTAAAAGAAACAAACAAATCTAAAAAAGTTTAACTTTCTATGCTATATTAATTAAGAGTATCAGTCTTTCCGGAACATTTTCAAAAGTTAAGTTGAAAAAGTTCTACTTTCTATACGCATTTTAAAAATTCGCACCCCCCCTGTATAAAGAGAAATGGTCCGATTTAAAAAAAAAGTGTGTCGAATGAAAGATTTATATATATTAAGTATTTATTATTAAAGAATAGAATTGATTTATGCATTTTTTAAAAAGTTATAGCAACATATGTTAAAACNATGCATTTTTTAAAAAGTTATAGCAACATAATGTTAAAAAATGTAAAATATAATATCAAGAATTTTTTCATAAAAATAGCATATTTTTGCATACGGTAGTCATTTTCACCATGAAGACAAGTCCAGAGGTCAAATGTTTTTTTTTTTAAATTAAAGTATATTACATTAGCTTTAATTTAAAATATATATAAAAGTGTTAGTCTTTCCGGAACATTTTCAAAAGTTAAGTTGAAAAAGTTAATTTTTTGTAAAAAAGTTACCATTTTGAAACCCTTCCTGTGGGCTGTTAAAGGGTCAAATGTTCACAAAAATATATAAAATGATAGGTAAATATCTAAGATATTTATAAAAAAAAAATNATAAAATGATAGGTAATTATCTAAGGTATCTATAAAAAAAAAAATTATATTGATTCAGTCATTTTTAAAAAGTTATAACAATTTTAAGTAAAAAAAAAATGAAAAAATATCGAAAATTAGCGATTTTTAAATTTGTAATTTTTTGGGGGATTTCCCCCGTTTACGGGGAACGAGGGAATTTTTTTCAATTTTTGAGGGTAATGTCTTCGACTAGATACGATTTGTGATCTTTTGACATATTGTTCATCAAAATCGGTTCAGTGAGAGCTGAGATTGAGCGTTCACAGACACGAAAAAAAAAAATAAATAAAAAAAAAACACATCATAGTAAAATTAATACCTTCTCAGCTTCGCATCGAACCTAAAAAAATAATGAATTTTTTGCCATAAATTTTAGCCCAACTAGCAAGTTGGTATAAATCTATTACTGAATTAGTTATCAAAATTATAAATATACATTAGCTTTACTTGTACATAAATTGCTTTTTTGAATCCCTTCTGTGGGCAAGTTTAGAGTCAGATTTTAGAAAAAATTATATCAAATGAAAGGAAAATATCTAAGGTTTCAATATAAAATTATGTTGATTTGTTAATTTTTGATCGAATAATGCAAAAAATGAACATTCTTCATTCAAATAATATAAAAGATTTAAAAATTTTCCAATTCTAGCTTCAGAAATATAAATTTTAGAATATTCATGCATCTTCTTAAAAATCTGATGTCATTTAAAGGAGCCATTTCACTGTTTGAGGCAGTAAACCAGTTCACAGCGTAACATTTTTTATAATAAAGGAATCAAGTTCTGCGAGAAAATTTTCCTCAAATTTAGTGAACTTAAACTGATTTCTATATCAAAAAATTTTTAGGCCGTTTATACCTTTAGCCATCCAACGTGCTAAATGGTATGGTCCTGGTTTTTTACATTTTATTCCTTTTGGAGAGACATCCCCGAAAAAAATAATAATTAAAATAAGAAATTCTTTATAATCATATTGTGGAAACAAAAAATTTAGTCTATCAAATCAAAACTGTAAAATTTCATCAATATCATTTAAAATATGTCGAACTCTAGCATGAGAAAATCCAGTAGAAAAATCAGTTTTTATAATGATATCCCACTGATTTTTAAATTTTTTTAATAGCGGAATATCAGGTCCTGACATGACGCTTACTTTTCAAATCGTAAAAACTGTTGATATTATTTCATATATATGATGACGACAGCCGAAAAATAATATATCTCGTTCAATTTTCCTTTCTAATAAAGAACAAGCACCATTAAATTTCACGGTGTTAGATACTGTTGTATCGAAAACAAACGCTTGGATATTATTTGTCAATCCCCAGCTATCAATAACTTCATAAATAGCGGAACATATTTCTAAACCAGTTCCAGCGGGTATTTCTGGTACTCCTAAAAGTTTATCAACTGCATGGGACGTTGCAATTACTGCTAATCTATCGACTTTTTATTCAATAATGTTACATAATAATTTTGTGTCTCAATGTATTGTTACAACATCTTTTTCTGCACTTCAATTTCAATCAATTCGAGTGTGTTTTGGTGGGCTATATTAAATAAATCATTGATTTTTTCTAAAAACATAATTTCTTTCTGTCTTAAATTTTCAGACATTTTTTTGGCATTTTTTGTTAATGATCTCCATTTCTTATACAACTTTTTCAAGTTGTCTTTACATTTATGAGGTTCTTGAGTCAGTATTCGAGCTTTCTTCCAAAAAACTAAACATTCTTCTATAACTAGAGCAGCACTTTCGTTTATATTAAATTTTGTAAATCTTATATTATACATTAAAACTTTTAAACAATCTCCTCTAGATGGTAATTTACTTCCCGTGATTTGATGTTTCATATGCCGATTATAAACATTTTTTCACGAAGTGGCATTTTAATTAATTATATAATATAACCCTCAAAAAAAAAACTCAAAATAAAAATACTTTCACTGATTAACAAACAACTCTTAAAACCTAACTAGACAACAATAAGTATGACTTCAAGGGAAATAATGTTCAATAAGTGGTAATGATTCTATTTACAATTACTTTATCAGATCAAAAAAGTTCTATTTAGATAACGTTAGAGGTACACGGTAAATGTAAAAAAAAAGAATCGAATATTGCACATGTATGATTATTATCGTACTTGGACAATTCAACGATTCCCGAGATTACTATTTTATGAGTTAGTATATGTGATAAAAGTGACATTTATCAATTTTAACTTAAACTTAAAATGATGTTCATAATAATAACAAAAATTTTATTGTTGTCTATAAATATTTTGTTATTTTTCCGAGAATGAGTTCACTTTAAAAAAAAATATCAAGAGACCATTTTTTTAAAACGTGTTTTATACTACATTTATTGCTCTATAAAATTTTTTTTAATAAAAATTGTAACGACTATATGCCAAAACAACGGATTTTACAAATTTACACAAAACTTTAATCTCAAATCGGTACGTGTTAAAGTTGTTCAAATGAGCTGAAACTTTACATGATTTATATTTAAGGTATTTCTAATAAAATTTTGACTGGTACTCATAAGAATTACAAAAAAAAAAAATCACAATGTATGAATAAGTGGCACTCTAATGTATATATTCTACATTAAACTAACTACTTTTAAAACAAAATTGTAGGCAACTGCTAATGCATGTAATGAATTTTCCCACCTATACGTATGTAACTACTTTTATTCTAAGATGATCATTTTAACGAAGTAATTAATATTATAAATCAACACAGCAGGTATATCAGATAAGACATAAGCATAAAAATACCTTATAATATATTTGTAATACCCTTATAGAATTGTAATGCACTCTTTATGGCGCCTAAAATATATTATTTCGGCTGGGATTATACCGTTCCCACTTCATGTCGAATATTGACGAAAAAATCGAATATTTGGCTAATAAACAAGTAATGGAAACACANGAATATTTGGCTAATAAACAAGTAATGGAAACACAGCATAGGAAGATTAATACAAAATTTATTACCTAACATTTTTCTCTCAAAAATAAAGTAAAAAAGATTAATAGCGAGATTAAAAATATTGGATCATTGATTTAGGTTTATAATGTACATGTACGGCGTGACGGTCATTTTTAACACTAGTTTTATTACCTGTGTAATCAACAGGTACTAAAACCTTAACAAAATTCGACCATTACAGCAAAATTCCATTAACCTTGTATGGAACTATATAGAATGGCATTTTATCCACTACTATGGTCCTTTTTTTACAAAGTTATTTACATCGAATTATAACTTATACACATTTTACACATGTATTTTATTAGTTTCATCTACTGCAGGGACTAACAATTTTTTTTCTTCCTTTGAAAATTACAGTCTTTAGCAATGCATTTTTTAGTTAGTAAATTAGATAACATGATTGTTACCCAGTGAATTTATTTTATCGTCTAGTTTATTATATTTTTACGCTTTCGCTTACCAAGTGGATAAAACTACTTAATTAAAAAAATACTTATATTATAAGTGAGTGTTAATCTTTCGGTAGATACCTTAAGGCCTTTAAACAACTTTTTTTACTTAAAATACGTAATATCTTTTTAAGATTCAAACATGTACATTGTACAACTCTAAATATGTAAATGTTCTGAACGTTCATTTAAAAATTGAAATCTTTCACGCTCACATTTATCTTTTTATGGAAATGTCAACACGTTTGTAAAAAAATGAATGTATTCATTAAAATATTTTTTATTTATGAATAGTTTATCTAAAGTTTATATTTATATATCCATTAATATAAACGATTCAATTCAGACAAATTTATATCTATAAAACATGTAAAAGTCGTACCCTTAGTAGAGTAATTGAGGTTTGTTTTAGAGGACGTATAAATAAGATAATTTTTCACTAGCCTAAAACAAAAAAAAATTATACGTTCATCATGTAAATATGTTTGTTTTGAGGAGATCTATATGCCTAACTCCATATATATTATGACCCTGCATACATTAAAATATAATATTTAAATTTTAGGTACTAAAATCTAATATTTATTTATATACTTTTTTATTTTATTTTTTTTTAATTGAATTTTTAACCATCTAAATGAGTTGCTCTCGGTATCTACTAACCAAATTTGAAGATAAAATTACAATATTATGATTAATAAAATATATAAGATTTTATACTCCTATGAAGTTTTTTGTGTACATTTTTAAATTACCAATAAAATATGTGATAACAATTCATTAAAATACGAAATTATTAATTTTACCTATTTTCATAAAATAGATTTGAAAACAAAAATTTGATTAATTTAAAATTGGAAAATTAGGATAAATTTTATGTGTGGGGTATTAGATTATTCCGGGATATCATATTTGTAAAAAAATTTAGATGACTACTGAAGGGTTAATATTCAGGTAGTAATTTTTTTGTCACTATGTGTGAATTTGCTGAAAAATCCACTGTTCTTTAGCAATATAATATTACTGTATTCAGTTTATGCTTATATATTATTCATCAAAATATCCTCTAAGCATTTCCAGGATTACAATAACTTCCTGATAAACACTTAATATTTTATAAAAAATTTCAATAAGTTAAGTTAGACACGTTTATATCGATAGCAATGTTAACGTAATTTTATTCATTATTAAATAAGAAAATTACAAGCTGACGAGGACAAATACACACGGACAAATCCTTTGCGCCATATTCAATAAAAAATATTACAATTCCTCTATTATAAAAATAATATAAAGTTATATAAATATTCTTACAAAAAAAAAAACATAAATACTTATTTTCATATAATAGTTAGCACTAAATTCTATNAACACTTAATATTTTATAAAAAATTTCAATAAGTTAAGTTAGACACGTTTATATCGATAGCAATGTTAACGTAATTTTATTCATTATTAAATAAGAAAATTACAAGCTGACGAGGACAAATACACACGGACAAATCCTTTGCGCCATATTCAATAAAAAATATTACAATTCCTCTATTATAAAAATAATATAAAGTTATATAAATATTCTTACAAAAAAAAAAACATAAATACTTATTTTCATATAATAGTTAGCACTAAATTCTATAACTTTAATAAGAATAAATTACTAAGTTCTAAAGTAAATTAATAAAAATTTGAACTAGCTGATGGTGTGTTTGGATTCACTTAACAAAATTAAAAAATACAAGTAATTCGGCAATCAGTTTTTAGTAAAACCCTGAAAAGTTGATCAAATCGATTAGTCAAACATAATCAAATATATATAGGATGAATAAAATTTTGTCAGAAGCTATTGAGAGTTTATAATTTTTGTAAAGCAAAAAATATTTGATTGAAATATGATACGTAGTTATACAATTTTATTTATCCCACCAAGAATAATAAATCCGAAATTTAATTTTCTAAAATAGGAACCACTATTTTTAACTTGATATAATAAAAATTTTAAATAACACAGTTTTTTTCAATAGTAATTGAGAAATGATTGTTTAAAAATGTGTTTATTATTTTAAATATTTATTAAAAACAATTTTCTATAAAATAATTTTTTTGTAAATAATATTTATGTCTTATTTTTAATAAAACAGTGACTTATGTAGTTTTTTAAATAACCGATTCAATTCATTAACGAATTAATATGATTAAGTAATATAATTACTAAGTTTTGCCTATCTGGGGCTCCGTCCCAGATCTGGTGCCCTGGGGACTTCACGTGCCTCCGTTAGGCTCTTTAGGCTATTCTTACAGGTAGGTTACTGATTCCGGTAGAAGTACCAATAAGTGATGTTTACAAAATGTATAACAACAGAAACTCAATTACAAAATATTTAGATGTATACACAATTATACATTATAATAACTAACAAATTATTATTCAAAACAAAAGATAGGCGAGGGAAAACGTAATAATTACAAAAAATTCTTTACATGCCGTTTTATAAGTAAAAACTACAAAAACTAACTACATTAAATAAAACAAAACAAAGAAAAATCATATCACTATCATAACTCAGTCAAAAATTAACAAAATTCAATGAATTTTTAGGGTACCTCTAAAATGTTTCTAAGTAAACCTTGTAAAATTTTCAATTTTTTAAACTAAAAATGCTGTTAGCAATAAGCGTTTTAAACAGTTTTAAACGCTCACGGTGTACTAAACAATTTTTGCTTAATTCGTGAATAATTTTCCTACAATAACGTCTTCAAGCTCTTTCATTAAAAAAATACTTGATAGTTGGACATTATTAAGTAATTTTTCCAGAGTTGGCTAATCTTTAATGTTATATTATATAAATAAAAAGATTTTCAAAGATACGATTAATAAAAATGAGGATATAGGTATATTGTGTTCCAGAGAGGGTGCTCATAAATAAAACACATATAATGTAAACGTTACTATAAACACTATTCACCCTACCATTCAGTAATTTTAAACAACATTCTGTTAGTATAAAAGGACCGTTTCTTTACCCCTGCAAAATATTAAGTGACGATATTTCAAAAACACCACAACTTCTTTGTACAATAATTCGGTAAGAAATAAAATTTTCTTAATAAATATTTTTGGGTTTTAATCTCTAAAAATGAAATACTTATTAAAGTAGAATTAAAAAATAATAATACTCAAATTATTTAAACTATTGTAAATAATTTTAAATGTAATGTTTTTTGATCAAATATTTTTTTGTTTATAAAGTTAAGTTCACATAATAAGATTTCAATAATAAAACACTCCTTACAGCAATAATTATTATTGTAGTAAATTTTTACTTAATTTTATAATAGAATTCTCAATTCTATGATATGATATTATTTTTTAGTTTTCAAATGTTGTTCAAATTAATTCAATAATAATAACCTTTACGATGTCATATAGTACTTATCAACTTTTTGATATATATCTACATTTGTATTTTTAATTTTTTTAATTAAAATATTATTGACAACGATATTGAAAGAATATTAAGTTTTAACATAAATTTATTAAAATTAACTTTTTCTTATGTGTTATTTCTTCAAGGTTAATTAGTATAACTAAGTTATAACTAGTAAATAGAATCAAATGAATAATAATTAATATTTTTGAGTAACAAAACTAATGAATTTTGTATTATTAATTTTGTTTAATTAATAATATCAACAATTTTTCATATACCACTAAACTAAATATATTTACATTTAATTTTATCTTTATTCTATAATATTGCAAAAAAGTAATTTTACCTTTTATTATACATTTTTTTTCAGATAAATATCAAGCATGAATTTCTATATAGTTTGCACTGTTTTAGCCACTTTAGCACTTCATTCTCTAGCAGAAGATGTTAAGGAAAATGCATCGACTACTTCGGCTGTTGATCGGATGTCAAATTCATTAAAAACAAATGTGATTCCTAATAGTAAATATTGATCATTTATATTATTTTGTTAGTGCTTTTCATTTAATATAAACATTTTAAATTTTATTGGGTACAAGTTATAACTTTTTATGGAGAACCCTAAAATAATTATCTTTATAAACATAATTCTACAAAAAAAATATGATAGTATCGTTCTTTTTTCATATACTTCTAATATTATATCAAAGATATTGTACTACCAAATAAAAGCTAATATGTTAATAAGTTATATGATAATATAAGTTCTTATTTATTTTTGTTTAGATGAATCTAATAACGAATGGTCCGTTGTTCCAAAAGGCTATGGAGGGGCGCTTGCAACTGGCGGAGCTGTTGTAGTTGGAATTGTAGTTTTGTTAGCTATAGCTGCTGTAGTCAGCCCTTTGTTTGGATATAGGCTTTGTCAAATTTTCAGTACTTGCGACGCAGCTACTACAGGTACAGCTTTCAGTGGTGATGGCTATTCTGGATATGCAACAGCACCTTCATATTCTACTTACCAGAAAAGGTACACGAACTTAATTAATACTTACTATAATTCCTTAATCAAATTTAAAAGATATATTATTTTGAACAATTTCACGAAATAAAATATTATACAATAAATAATTATTAAATTTAATTTTTTAGCAAAGCGACAATCTTTTTTTTTTTATAATTTTTTATTTTTATTTTTTATTATATGAATTAATTCATTAGAGGTTTGGTCCCAAGCAAATGATAAAAATAACCATTATTTTTATTTAGGAATTTTTTAAGGAGAGAAATTAAGTTAGGCTACATAAACTTTTTTTGTTCCAATGCGCCGATTAAAATATTGTGTATAAACTAATCTATTTTTTTAAATGTAAAATACTTTTTAATTAGGTATTAATAATATTGATATTAATGTATATTTTTTTTTTTACAAAATCAATGAAATGTACTTAAAAAATAATTTAATTTATTTAAGCATTTTTATACATTTAAGAACATTTTTCAATGTTTTTTTAGAGTATTTAATTTCAGGTATTATTGATAACCAATCTTGAAAACGGGAATTAAAAGGTTCTATTTTTTATGGAATTGTATAATAGTATATTTTGGTTTTAGAATTGTAAGATAACTAATTAGAAAAAATATTTGAAGAGCTAATTCCATTTTTTTTATATCTTTCTCTAACTGTTAAATTCTCTTAGTTTCACTAAAATTTTATAAAAAAATAAGTCATTGAAAACTTTACCCAATTTTTTTTTGTCTTTGTCAAACTTAAAGGTCTAGTTACGCTGCTTATAGTACGTTTCAAATATACATCTATTTTTGTAACTAATAATTTTATTAATTAAAACTTTATTGTAGGATTTTAATGGATTAATTCATTATTAATATTAAATTCATATTTTAATTAGGTTATATTTACCACAGAACCATATTTTTAACACTCTTTATTTTTAACTGATTGTTTTATTATTGACATTTAAGAGTTCGTTAATAATTTAACATGAATTAAAATGTTCAGATCTATTGAGTATGTTGGTCCAATTTTACAAGCATTGAATTCAGCGTATGAGAAATATGGACATGGTACTACTAATCCAATAAGTCAAGCAATCAAAAAATCTGCTCAACAATAACATTTAAAAATAAAACATGTTTTTTTTTATACCTACTATAATTAAATGTTCCTTTAGATGTACAAACTTGCTTGAATTTAGAATAAATATTGTATTTTAAAGAAATAAAAAAACTATTCAGTGATCAATAATTATTTATTCATCAATTATAAATAATTGTATTCACAAACATAATAATAAAAATCTAGTATTACATTTACATATATATAAATAAAACATAAACAGTTAAAAAATATATATAATTTTTTTTAAATGTTGTATTATTCATTAAATAAAAAACAAATGGTATAAAAATCTAAAGTTTAAAAGTAGTGTTTTGTTTTATGAGTATCCATACTAAAATATTATGACGTAAGTTTTGACCTTCTTGCCATTAAAATCATTTTTTCCTTCTCTTCTTCTTTTTGTGCTATACTCATTTGTGAATGAATACTAGCTGCTAAGGATGTATTTTGTTTTCTACTATTACTGACAGTCCTAGTGAGTGTTGGTAATCTTTTATGCATTTCTTTTTCCACCCATTTTAACATCGTTAAAACAGCATCAGGACCTGATAGACGGAAATCTGCCGCTGTTTGAACCATTGGTGATGGATCTACTCTAAATGTACACGCTATACCTTGTAAGGCTAACATAGCATCTTCATTTCCAGCATATATAACACGTACTCGTTCTGACCAATCAACACCATATGTTGTACGTAGTATGTAAATTGAAGCTCGCCCTTGATCCCATGTTATAGGTGGCTTACCTTCAATAGCTAACATACCCTGATGAGGTTCAAAACCGGCACTTTCAATTATTTCTATAGCTCTTTTTTCAAAATGTTCTCGTTTACCAAGTGGTGCCTCTCGGTAGTGATAGGTTAACATAACCCCTTTATTTTCAACCCAAGCACCATCTTTGCATACTTCATCCATTAACGCTTTTTGTAAACCCGCAACCTTTTGTTCGTATTGTTTAGGTACCGGATGTACAAAGTTTGTGCCATCTGGATGATTAATCTCAATACCATGACTTCCAGCATAAGTAATATTTTCTATGTCTACCATTGATTTGACGTTTTCTAATGTACGACCAGATATAATAGCAATGTTGACATCAGGCATACGACTGAGTCTTTGCAAAACTTTTTTGGTTTCTTCAGACATAATCGCTAAGTCTGGATGTGAAGTCAGATGTGTCAATGTACCATCATAATCAAGTATCAAACTTAACTTTCCCGCCCCGGCAATGTGGTTGCTTAAGTACATGTCAAAATCATCTAGCTGGAGTTTTAATGTTTTTGGTGGCTCTTCATCTTCATCTTTTAAGGCTCCCATGGATGAAAAAAATGACGTCATCCAGTAGTTAACATCTAAAAGTTGTTCTCTATGCCGGAGTTGGGTCATACGTAACTCTCGTTCATCCAAAGGCATTTTAAGAGCTCTATTAAGAACGATAGCCATTTCATCTAATTCATAAGGGTTAACTAGTAAAGCTTCGTGCATAGTACCACCAGCTCCAGCAAATGGTGATAAAATTAAAACACCCGGTGTTCGTATTTGACAAGCTACAAATTCTTTTGCTACTAAATTCATACCATCTCTAAGTGGAGTGACTAATGCTACTGCACAATCTCTATAAAGAGCAGCTAACTGTTCTTGACTTAAACAACCATAAATATACCGAATTGGAGACCAATTAGGTTTAGAAAAACGTCCATTAATACGACCAATCAGTAATTCAGTTTCATCTTTTAATTGTTTATATTCTTTTACATCTATTCTAGATGGCACTGATATTTGTAGCAGTACAACTTTTTCTAAAAATTCTGGGTATTTCTCTAAAAATTTCTCGAATGCCAAAATTCTATGTACTAAACCTAAATAAAAATTATAAATTCAACAATTTATCAGCCATTTGATTTTTAAGTTAAATGTTTTTACTAATAATAAATAAGTTGGTAATATAATTATAATAATCATTATAATAACGATCATTATAATCGTTAAATATATAACTCATTTCAATAAAAGTTAAATACAATACTGTATTATTAACTCCGATGTGCAACTGAGAAGGTTGGGATTCTCACCCAACCTAATCTATTTTTTCTTAATCTAAAATCAATCTTACATTACTGTTTTGTTTATTTTTTTTCTGAGTAATTAACTATTGATTAATATGACAATTTGACCGATATTTTTTAACATTGCATCATGAAATTACAAAATGTACCTTGTTAAAAAAATCACCTTAATAAATATAAAAATTTTTTATAAAAGTGTTTTAAGTTTTAGTTATAAATATTTAAAAGTAGAATTTTTGCAACTTTTAATGTCAGTACAATATATAGAGGGTATTTTTTTAACTCTAGACATTCAATTTTCTTAAATAATAACTTTTTTCTAAATTTTATTTTTTGAACTTTATAAGTTACATATCTAATATGATATGTAACAATAACAGATAATTTATCTGTTATAAAATATTTGTTATGTTCATCCTTTATGTCTTGTATGGCCAACAACTTTATTTTTATTTAATAGAAACGTACATACAACTAGCTTATAAAAAAGAAAATTATATAATAAAGAAAAGAACTCGTCAACAATAACTATTGAAATATTGGTCCAAAAGTTGTTTCAGACCAGTCATTTTCTTGAGTAGACCATTTTCAATTTTATAAGCTAAATAAATGTCTATGTATCCATTAAAAAATAAAATTGACAATTATATATAATCGTGTAAAAATTAATTTTACACGATTATTTTTAACATATTAAAAACAATTTTTAAATGTAAATACTCGTTTTTATAAATTATTAATAATCTAAAAAACACATAATAGTAAAATTAATACCTTCTCGGCTTTGCATCGAAGCTAAGAATTTGAACCAATATTTGATGACTATTAGATCAACCAGATTAAAATCGGTTTATTTGATGTATTGATCATCAAAATTGGTCCAGTGATGCTGAGAATTTTTATGGATAGATATAAAAAAAACAATTATAAACTTGTTAAATAAATCTACTTAACATACCGTATTATAAAAATTAATGATATTTGTTAAAGTCCATTGTTAAAAATATGTGAAATCCAAAATCATTTTTACAGTAACATGTCACCAAAAAATTTTGAATATTAAAGACATGTTTAATATGACAAAGTAAAATTATTTCACATATTAATTGAAAACTATTATCATATTAAATATCATTTGACAAAAAATAAATTAAAAACATAAGAAATCAATGATTTCACTTTTTTTATGGAGAAATTTGATAAATTTCTATTAATATAAAATATTAATATATATTCTATTAATAAATAAAATTTTTATTTGATAAAATTGAAATTTTTTTAAATTTTTTAATACAGAGTAGCCCATAATAACCTTTCATATTTGTTTATTTAATAACCCAGCGAAAATACATGTACAGAGATAATTTAAGTACTAAAATAAAGTAGAAACATGCCGTTTTTAGACAGTATATTTAAATTACTTTTACAATTTAGGTCTTAAAAATTATTCCTTGCAGATGATTACCCTCATTTTTTATACATTCAAGCAGACGTTTTTTTAAGTTTTAAAGTATATTAAAAAGTATATAAAGTATATATTAAAGTATATTTAAACGATAGCGCTCGCCGTTAACTGTTCCATCGAACACGTATGTTACACAAACGACACCATGTTGGACGATACTCATCCACTCGGTGTCTTTTTACACGCATCACCACTTTCCTCAAAGTTTTTTTATCCATAAATCCACCGTTGGTCGCGAGGGACCGCACTTTTTCCGTCAAGATTAAAATTTTTACAAAACTCTCGAATTGCAATCACGTGAAAGTCATTATTCTTATAATAAGCTTTTACGATAAACGCACGATGAACACCCGTCCACTGCTTCATTATGATAAAATCGCAATGAAACATAATTAGGCATCGTCTAGCTATCTGGAATTAGATTTATCGTTCCCCTACCTTTTTTTGAACAAAAGTTATTTGTAAACAAAATGTAAAAGGTTATTATGGGTCACCTTGTATAAATATATTTTTTAAAATCATTACCAATACTTGGTTGTTATTATTTGACGTTTCGTTGAAAAATTTAGTCGACTGAGAGCTGAGAAAAATGAATGGCAGACATAAAAAAATACCACATAGTAAATTGATTTTAATGTGAATAAGAAATTCCTTTTTATAAGGGGAAACTACTTTTTGAAAAACTCAAATAGAATTATGAAAAAATGCGTAAAATGTATTTTCACAGGTGGAATACGAACCTCTACCTCGGGCGTGAAAGAATGAAGTGTGTCCCACTCTACAGCAGTGCATCGTAAGCAATATTAGATAAAATGAACAATTCGAAAGTTCGAAAATTCGAAGTTTTTCTTAACGTAAAAGACAAAACATTCAAAACAAGTTTAAATTATATTCAATATAGTTAGACCATGTAGCATTTATAAAAATCGTTGTAATGATTACTTGGCAAATCTTTGTATGGTATTTTATTATAAAAAAGTAATAGAAATCAAATAAAATCAAAAATATCGAGAATCGTAACACAAAATCGTACGTTTTTTTTAACTTTCAAGTCAACCAAAACCCAACCAAGATGACAAATACATTGGTTAATCTTTTTTCAATTTAAAGTATATTACACATGTTTTATTTTAATATATATATTATATATATAAAAGTGTCAGTATATCCAGAACAATTTCAAAAGTTAAGTTGAAAAAGTTAATTTTTTGTAGAATAATTGCTATATTGAAGCCCCCTCCATTGGGTAGGTAAAGGTTCAAATTTCACAAATATATATCAATTAATTGATTAATTATTAATTTTATAATGATGTGTTTTTTTTTGTGGGTGTATTTTACTTTTTCTCAGCTCTCATTAAACCGATTATTTTCAACGATACGTCGAAAGATCAAAAATCGTATCTAGTCGAAGACATTAATATTAAAAATTGAAAAAAATTCCTTTGTTCCCCGTAAATAGAGGAAATATCCAAAAATATTACAAAGTTAAAAACCGGTGATTTTCGAATATAAAAAAAAAAAATTTCGAACTTTATTATGAAAATGGCTACCATATTCAATAATATGCTATTTTTGTGTTAAAATTCTCGATTTTATATTTTACATTTTTAACTTTATATTTCTATGATTTGTTGAAATATGTATGGATCATTATAATTTTTTTTTATTATTTAATTAAAGATATTATCCTCAAAAATTGAAAAAAAAAAATCCCCTTTATCAAATAAATAATATATTATTTAATCTATACAAATTTTCTGAACCATCATTTTCCATACAGACAAACAATTTAATTTTTACAATTATAATCAAATTTTATAATACGCTCAACTGAGTAGATTTTTTTAACCACTTTTTGATTGGTTTTTTTAGTTAAAATAATTCAATAAAATGAATAAAGATCGGAATATTTCAATTATGGTATCTTTTTAAACACGAAAAGTTAATTATAAATGTATACTATGATTTCTATTTAAGCGATCTATTACAATAAATATTGTGCTTTTCTGAAAAATTTTCTGTAAAAAGTAATTATAAAATTTCTTCTTGTGTCAAGTGAAAGTTTATGATAAAGGTGTCCGACCCTAAGTAGTTGAGATTAAAGCGAGGAAGAAGAAGAAGGAGAATGTTAAAATTTAGAAGTGATTGAAAAAGTCATATTTCAATTTTGAAAATAGAGCTAAAAGTTGATTTAGAAAAGTGTATTGGTATGTTCGTATTATAATTTATCTTCTTAATAGAGGTGAGTTTGTTGTAAGCACTTTTTTAATTACCTTTCGTATAATCTAATCTATCAACGCCAATAATGACTTTAACATCTTCCGGCATATTTAAAAAAGTTGGAGCTTTTTCAGCTAATTGAACAAAACGATCAAAAGGAATACCAATAGGTAGAGGTTTCACTTGAATAGTACGACCAGCAAGTTCTACTAGCATATTAGTTCGGTCTATTCGGCAACCAAGTCTTCGACAGCAACAGTCAATAAAATTTAAACAATAATCTTCAATGTGGAATGCAACGAAATCATAAGCTAAAATATAATTCAAACAAGTATATAGAAATGTGTATTAATTAATTAAATATGAATTGAATAATATTACAATCAAATACCTGTGTACAGGTCTTTCCATAGTTATATAACTATGATCTCACCTAATATTCCTTGTAAAACTTGATCGTCCCAAGGTAACAGTCTCATTATATCCCACGATGGAAACGGTATGTGTAAAAAGAATCCTAGTTTACAACGGAGGTTCTCTTCTTCACATACACTTCTTATTGTGGTTGCTGTAGTTAACAATTGATAATCATGTATCCATACAAGTGGAACTGTATCAATATCTCCCGCATTGTCTAAGTCTTTAATTACATTTCTAAGAGCATTTAGAGTACATTCAGCAAACTTTTCATTTACTTTACAGTATGTCTGTAAAAAGTAAGACAAGCAAATTAATAACATCGCACCCAATTGTAAAAAAATACAAAATGGAAAAACACAATATTTTTCCGTTTATTTTGGAACATATAAAATAATATGAAACATTTGAAAATAAAAAGTGTAATTTTATTATTTCAATGTGTAAGAAACATTTCCTTTCCAATTTTTTAACGGCAATTGATGAAAATTTTACTTTTTATTAAAAAATATTTTACTGGTAATTATCAAAATTATTATAGATATTGCTATGACATTTAGCTTCAATAGCAAGCTAAGAATATATTGGTTTTACTATGATGTGTCTTTTTTTTTATTATTTCTTTTGTGTCTGTTATCACTTTTTCTCAGCTCTCACCGAACCGATTTTTTTCAATGATACGTCAAAAGATCACAAATCGTATCTAGTCGATAACATTACCCTTAAAAAAAGAAAAAATTTCCCTCGTTCCCCGTAAATGGGGGAAACCTCCAAAAAAATTACAAATTTAAAAATCGCTAATTTTTGAAATTTTCGAAAAATTTTTTACTTTAAACTGCCTTAACTTTTTCAAAAATGAACAAATCATTATTAATTATTTTTTATAGATGCTTGTTGTTTTTGACTATCATTTGATATATTTTTTTTTATAAATTTGACCCTTTACCACAGGGGATTTAAAATGACAACTTTTTCACAAAAAATTAATTTTTTTAACTTAAATTTTGAAAATGTTCCGGAAGGTCTGACACTTTTATATATATCTTAAATTAAAGCTAATGTAATATGCTTTATCATGAAAAAAAAAAATTTCGGACTTTATCTTATCTTCATGGTGAAAATGGCTACCGAATGCTATTTTTGTGTGAAAATTTTCGATTTTGTATTTTCCATTTTTAACTTTATTATGCTATAACTTTTTGAAAAATGTATGAATCATTACAATTTTTTTATGAGAAGTAGTATTTATATAGATCTTTCATTCGACATACTGTTTTTTTAAATCGGACCATTTCCCTAAATACAGGGGGGATTCAAAACATAAAAATGCATATAGAAAAATTAACTTTTTCAACTTAACTTTTGAAAGTTTTCCGGAAAGTCTGACTTTCTTATATATATCTTAAATTAAAGCTAATGTAATGTACTTTATTATGGAAAAAAAAATTTAAGACTTTACGGTAAACCCAGACATCAAAGTTAATAAAAAAAATACGATTCTTGTAAAACTATTCTTTTTTACATTTTTAACTTTATAATGCTATAACTTATTGAAAAGTGTATTGATCAATATAATTTTTTTATGGGAAATACTATTTTTTAATAATCCCTTTTTCATTCGACATACTTTATCTTAATCAGGATATTAATAAGGAACTAGCAGTTTATGAAGCTTTTGGAATAATCCACCAATTTTTTAAAATTAAACACTATCTAAAGATTTGCATCGAAGCGTTTTTTTTTTATAGTGATTTTAATCACTGTCAGATATCATTATACTTGATCCAACTATGCCACGTCACCACTGTGCCGCGAACCCCTGTGCTGGGTTTTTTTTATATTGAAACTTTAGTTATTTGTCTTTTATATAATATATTTTTGTGAACATTTGACCCCTAACCAGCCCTGTACACAGGGAAGATTCAAAATAGAAACTTCTTCAAAAAAAATTTACTTGTTCAACTTAAGTTTTGAAAATGTTCTGGAAATACTCCGAGCTATATGTTAAAATAAAGCTAATATTATGTACTATAACACAGTGGAGTTGCGGGAAAGTATGGAAGTGGCATATTTGGGACTAGTATAGATGATATCTGACAGTAATTAAAATCACTATCATGAGAAACACTTCCATGCAAATCTGTAGATAGTGTTAAATTTTAAGAAATTGGTAGATTATTTCAAAAGCAACATGATCTCTTATTTTCTTATTTATATCCTAATTAAGATAAAGTATGTAGAATGAAAAAGGGATTATTAAAAAATATTATTTCTCATAAAAAAATAATGTTGATCCATACACTTTTCAATATGTCATAGCATTATAAAGTTAAAAATGTAAAA